ATTGAATGCAATTTTTTATAGCTAAAATAATCTGATCCTGCTTTTGGAGGGCACTGTATTCTTATGTGTTTTCCATCTATAGCTCTTGCACAATTAGGAAAGTTCCACATTTTTTCAAACGCATCCGCTTTAGAAAGACATTTCGCAACAACCGGTTTTGGAAGGTAAATCGGTGATAATATTTCCCAGACAGCTTTACAGGTTTCCATTACAATGTTTTCGATTGTAGAAGACCCATATCGAAAAAAAATGCGAAGGCGACTTAAATGATTCCCCACTTGCCAAATAACTGAAAATATATTTTAATTAATTAAAATTTTTGTATACCTATAACAATTTAGAAATTCCAAATTCTTGCAGTAGCAACATGCACAAATAAATGGAAAAATTTACGGAACTCATATTGGAGGTATTTGAGGGAAGAAAAAAAAAAACTATCTGGATCGAGCGGTAAGCAGAAGCGGAAGTGGTACTTGGCTGATGTAATGAACTTTTTAAAAGAATTTGTACATAAGCATCGTGAAATGAGCAGTAATTTACCTGTAAATAGCCCTGATGTCGAAGGACAAACTACCGACATGTCGCAAAATGATTTTACCGATGCAGTAAGTACTGACAAAAGCAGTCCAATACCTGCGAAGAAGAGTAAGATATCATCTATATCTGAGATGATAGCTGGACCAATGATTAAGTTCCTAAACTCCGAAACGAAGCAGAAACCAAAAGAGTATGGAAATAAATTACTTCTTAAAAGTTTGCTGTCTGATTATGAAAAACTCTCCAGCAAAAGACGAAGACTATTCAGAGTGCATATGATAAATAAAATGAATCAGTTACAAGAAGAGGAAAATTAATATTTAAGTACTTCAACGTCATCATCGGTCATGGGATGATCTAATATAGTATATGAATACAAATAATTATTTCTGTAATTAATAATTTATATTTTCATATCCATCATTTTAAAATTTTACCAAAGAAGGGATTTTGATTTAAAAACACATTGATTTTAAGTTTAAAATGCTATTTGTTTTACTTACCGTAGTGTTATAATTAATCTTTCCGCAGGAGTTATGCTTTTGCGGTAGTTCGTATTTTGCTTAAAAATTAAATGTTTTATTAAAGACAGCAAATATTTGAATGTTGGCACCTGCATCCTTGTGAAATTTCGAAATTTTCTTAGATGCATTCTCAGTTCAGAAATCAAATTTGTAATAGCATTTTCTGAATCGCGCTTCTGSTTGTACGGATGCACCCACCATTCTCTTTTATTTCTTTCACTTCGTTCACAAAACTAAATAATTGAAAATAGGACTGGCACAACTTCATCGCCCGAATCCGACGACATCTTTGCAGGAACTGATTCGTTTTCTTCTTTTTTCATTTTATTTCAATGCACACCAAGCGGGACAAGAAGGCAAAATGTCGCATTGTGCTTCCCTTGGTGTGGGTTAGAGCACAAGATGTTTTTGTGTGTTATTAGTTAAAGACGTTTTTGACTAATCCGGTGTGAGCTCAGCCTAAGTCAGAGGTCAGCAGTTCATAGAACAATTGTGCAAGCTAACTTCACCTATTCGCTTAAGCTTAGTCGTTCAGGCCTATACATCGCACATGGTCGTACCATTAACAGAAATATGTACTGCAGGGAATTTTAAATTATTATGAATGGAATTATGGGACAGTGTCAGTGAGCACAAAACTGAAATTGGGAACTACACTTTGAGCATATTTTGCTTTTTCGTGTATAAAGTATAAACAATTCTGTGTTTTTTATCATTTATTTGAAATTTATTGCCATTAAAAACTAATTTTGGACCCTAAAGGCCTTAACTTTATGGAATTTAAATAACCTAAAACTCCAAATGATATGTATTAATAAAATCATTATGTATTTAAAATCAAAGACAAAAGTGCGCGATGTTATTTCGTCAATGTATCATCATCAGAAGATATAGTAATTGCCGCCCCCAAATGAAACCGGCAAATCACTATCAAAAATTCCTCATGCCTATAGATTTTGTATGGCGCGTATCTAAATAAGGTCTAAAGCTACTCTGGTAAGGTCCAATCAGATTTTTGACGGTGGGCTTTTATCTTTCACACAAAGCGCTCGATAGAACCTTATGTGCGATATTGAGGAGGCTTATCCCATGGTAGTTGGCGGAGATTGTGGGGTGCCCCATTTTKTGGATTGGGCAGACTACATTTAAATTCCAAACGTTGGGCTTTCATTCGTCCGACCATATTTGACAAATAAGCTGACGCATTCTCCTTATCAGATCTTCGCCACCGTGTTTGAATAGCACGGGCGAATATTCATAGGCTTTGTTATACTTTGGACGAGTAATTGCTATTCTGATTTCTGTTAGCCAACTTCTGGGAGGGAGTGTTGCCCACCTCTTCTGCGCCTATTCCTTCTTCTTCTACGAGCACCGTCAGGCTCTGCCCGATGTGACTCACCTGAGTCCGACCCACTGCGCCTTTCGTCGGGAGTCTTGGCGGCGCTCGTTGCTTCTACAGCGGTACCAGGCGTTTTCGCCAGGTGAGCGCCGCTGCAAGAGGGCACGTCGTCATCATCCTCGCTGGCGTGCTCTTCAAACAGTGCCCGCGTGATACCCTGGATTAGGAGGTGGTAGCTCTTGGCTAGCGCACGCATGGGCAGTGCCCATGGGGGACGCCGAGTATGCCTTTCGCCTAAGCCCCTGCATCGCGGCAAGGTGCCTACCACTTGATTGTCGATCCCTACCCCTATCGGCTAGCTTGTAAAGTACGAAACTCACGCATTTCGGTCTCTCTGTGCTTTTGTCTGCAATTGTGTCTCGCTTCCCTCTACAACTTGCAATCATGCCAAATAACCTTTTTTGCACACTTCGGCGTTAAAGTCGCTAAACAGGATTSAGACAGCGTGGAGGAGCTTTCATTGGTACGTGTGCCCTCTCATTTTAGCTTGCTACCAGAGGATATTTTGTCTAAGACCAGAAATCGTGAACTACTTGAACCATATATGTAAAAGAATTTCTGATCACTCCCAAGTGAATGGCGTTAGAGAACTTTCCTCACTTGCGAGAATTTCTACACATGACTCCATTGCAATAATTATTTTAAATAAAACAATCAAAACTATATTAAAGCAAGTMGAAAAGGCAACCGAACATTTTATTTTTTTGCAACTTGTAAGCCAGGAAAAACCTCACGGCGTAAAACTTGTTAGAAAAACCAAAATCATTACACAAAATAAGCCGTATGTTTGAAAACCGTGGTAATGGTTATATGGGTACTAGGTCAAGTTTTCGGCCAAGTATATCCATTTTCGGCACAATTTCTCCAAAAAGTGGGCGGTAGCACTCCCATTGTCCAATTTTTTCCCAGTCTCTATAAAGCTTTGTCATACTATCCTGGCGGTTCATTTTTACGTTTCTGGCGTATTCGTTCCGGGCGAATTTGGTTGTTATAACTTAACTGGTTTAAGAGATACTCACATTAAACATATTAGGGGGTGGGTCACGCCTATACTTTCAAAATTGTTCATCCACAGGAGCCCCTTGCTACTGAGATTCCCTGTGCCAAATTACAAATTAATTTAGTCCTTAGTTATGTCATTTTATTTGTTTTCGTTTAATTTCGATTTGTGGGTCTGCCAGTGGTACGATTACGCCCATCTACGAACTCGTAATTTTTTTTTGTACTAAGGAACCTGTATACCAAGTTTCATGAATATATCTCAACTTTTACTTAAGTTAAAGCTTAGACAGACGGACGGACGGACAGACAGTCAACTGGATTCCAACTTTTTTCGTCATCCTAATCGTTTATAATATATATATAATAGGTTGTCAAAAAAGTCCTGCGGTATAATTCATAAAACCATAAAATTTTTTTTGATGACTCATGCGCAGCTCTTGACCGCTGCTACGGCGGCTACTATGCCGGTCTCTTTCGACCACTCCAACGATTTTATTGCAATTTTCGACGACAAGCCTTCCGGTGCGTGGCGCATCTTCGACCACCTCTACACCAGAACGAAAACGTTGAAACCATCGTTGTGCGGTGGAAAT